TATATATTTATTTGGCTGAATCAGAACACACCCGCGCGAATCGACTGACTCATGGCGCATTTCCCACCGTCTTTCGATTGCACGATTTACCGATGGCTCTGACTGAGGACTCGAGTCGTTCTCCTGTTCAGGTGTGGACAACCTAGCAGTGTATCAGTAGAACCATAAACCACATAAATATGGATACTCTCATGCTGCATCGGCGCTCGCGAAGCGGGGAAAAGGGCCGCTTTATGTGCTGCATACAGCGGGGCGGATAAGCAAAGTAATACTACCACCGGCGCGTCCCCCACTTCTTCTCCCCCCCCCCATACGTTCTCCTCTCAGTCCCTGTTTCACCTGAATCACCATGCTCGCCCCAACTCTCTACCTCAGCGAGTGCCCGGTGCAATCGTGTACCTCCGCGGATGCTGGAACATGCGCACACTGCCGGACCGGAATACTAATGAGCGCTATAAGCGACGCACGGCACTGGTCACCATTGAACTCGGTCGCTAAGACATTAATATTATCGCGCTCTGTGAGACTAGACTTGCTGGCCAAGACAAGCTGCACGAGGATATTACTAGCTACAAGTTCTACTGGGTAAGAAACTCCACCACGCGAACATGGGGTCGGATTTGAACTATCCGATCTCCTCCCATGGCCAACAGAAGAGCAGATGGGCATCGACCAACCACCTGACCTCAGTCACGTGATCAGATGAAGGCCATCACGATCACAAGTTAAATTGTCTAATCAATTGTTTCTTTGTTACACTAACGATTTCAGCAGACGTTAACATAATGTATATTACTGTATGAGCCTGATGAAGAAGTAATCGAAAACAATTGTTTGCTCAAAGCTTCGTGTTTTGTTTATCTTTCGAAACTTGACGTAACAAATGGGCATTCTACTTGAATTAAATTTGAATCTTTTATTAGCCCGCATGGTCCCATCAAGTGTTACTCTGATGACAGAAACGATCAGTTTGACTCTCAGTTGTCCTACTGGGTGATTTCAACACGTGCGTTGGACCTGAGACTACTGCCCACACTGCACGTGACTCAAGACCTGAAGATCACAAACCCACAGTTTCCACTTAGAGCGAATAGTATTGGTACTTGGACGCACCGAAAGAGTCGTCACGCTGACCTGATCGACTGTCGTCCTACGACAACGTGAAATGCGTGAAGTGTGCATGACACGTGTACTGCGTTGAAATGAGCGTGGAATCGATCACAAGTTGGTCCGCGCCAAATTGTACGTATATTTCGTAAATCTGTTCCTCTACCGTGAACCGGTAGAGATTTGGTGTATTTTCTCTAAGTAATGCTGAGAAGAGACGCGAATCGAAGAATGGGATGGCTATCCGCGTTGGCGGTGCTGGCTCCATGGAATCAGTCAGCTTTTGCTGTGCATGTGGAGGACCCCGCGGACTTCGAGGAGAGTCAGTCTCGCAAAGTGCGTCGGCGATTGACTCGAAAGCTCTCGCATCAAGAATGCACGGTGGATGGAGAACGTAGAGCAGATGTTACGCCGAGCGTCCCCAGCACAAAGGAATTCTATGGTTTATTGAAGGTAATGTAGGGACCCACCTTGCAACCGCTGAGGACACTGGTAAACGCTACCTCGAGTGCTGTCTGCACACTAACTGTAGACAGGTACAGTGCAATCATTTCATCTGTCCCTTAAACAATCGCTCAGAGATTGACTGCGATAAACTGGAGGGGCTGTAACGTCAATATATAGAGAATGATTTTGCCGACACCCCAACGCTCCATGAAACGCAGACAGCACTCGATTAAGTGCGAAACGCCAAGTGGGCACCTGCTGTTGGGATACCGCCAGAAGTGCTGGAGAATGGAGGGCTCGCAATACTGCATGCACAACATCATTTGGTGGAACACGTGTGGCTTGAAGAACAGGTGCCAACCGAGCTGAAGGATACCTCTGTGCCACCACTGTACAAGGGCAAAGGGAGCAAATAATGTGCCGACAACTGCCATGGTATCAACTTGCTGAGTTGTATCGGGGTTTGGTTGCTCGGATTCCGCTCAACTACCTTGTCACTCAAATCGTTGAACCAAATGTGGCCGAAGACCAATTCAGATTCCATTCGGGCTGCGGTATGACAGATGGAGTGTCCACGACTCGCCAATTGCAGGAGAAATGCAAATTATATAACCCAACCAACGTCCTTCATGGCTCAATGGCTTAAGCTGCTGGCTAGTTAGCATCTGCCTCTAGCGGTCATGGGCTCGATCCCCATTACGGGAATGAGGGAATGCGCACCACTGACGAACCCCGATAGGGCGAAACGCTTCTGGTGCTTTTCTGGACTAGGTTGTGCTATGTAGCTTGTGAACTACTGGGATGAAAACTTTAAAATTACATTTTGCTAGCTATGTGTAGACTTCACAGACACAGTTAACAAAGTGAACCGCGAGATACTGTGACTGGTGTTTGATAAGTTTAGTTACTTTATTGAATGCCTGCACAGTGGTATGCCGGCGAGGGTGTGGCTGTGTAGACAAACCGACTGACTTTTATGTTGTCTCTGGTGTGAAGCACTGGCGTGTATTCGTTCCCTCCATTTAAGCTTTGCCTAACTGTTTAGTGCTTTCAAATCTTGTGAATACGGTATTCGTCTCCAGCAACGTACCGATGGTGTGTTGCAGAACACCTGTGGTTTCGGGGCGAAAACTCGAGTGCGTGAGATAACCATTCGGATGTTGTTTGCTGACGACTTCGCGAGGATGTGTTGCAACGTATGGCGACGGCTCTCGGTTCCACTGCGGCCAATTTCGGATTCACCATTAACACAAGCAAGATCGTTCGTCTTTTCAGCCGTCACCAGGAATGGAATCCGTGAACTGCCCGCAAATCAAGACAGCTGTTGAAGTTTGGGTGGTCTCATCAAAATTTTGCCCCAGTTACTGGCCATGCCAAGTCCATCCAACGCTATCGAGCTGCAGATGCTACGTGTGAGCGTGCGTACATGTGTGTTTGTGTAGCAACCAATCAACGTTCGCCATTGATTCATTTTGAAATAGGAATCTTTCGCGCTGTTCATGTGACTCGCGTTTCAGACAGCTTGTTACTTGAAACAATTATATCCCTTTACCAGTTTAAACAACGCAGCGAGAAGGCAAGAACTGGCAGATGTTAATTTGTTCGCATGTGCTGACGACTTGGTTGTTCCGCTTTTACGCTTGCAACTAAATTTTCCTACTGCCATATCGGTGTTTTGATTTCGTTCGGGGCCACAGGGAGCATACTGTCAAAAGACATGCAGACGAACAGCGAGTTGCGCATTGGCGTATCGAAGGCCAATGCTACGTTTGACAAGCCGGGACATCGGGTCTGTAAAAATAAGCAGCTGACAGTGTATAAATCGACGGTGCTGTCGGTTCTTTTCTACGGCAGCGAAACATGGACACTATACAAGGAAATCTGATATCTGGAGCGCTTCCATCAACAGTGCCTGCATCGGTTTCTGCGCACCCGTTGGTGTGACAGAGTTTCTGACAAGGAATTGCTCCGCCGAATTAGAACATGTGGAGTGGACTGTATACTTCCGCTGCGACGTCTGAGGCGGCTTGTATAGGTACGCCGTATGAATGTAACCAAGATATCGGAACATCTGGTACATGGCCAACGAAATACAAGAAGACGGAATGTAGGCAAACTGAAGCTAAGCTACCAGGACATGGTCCAGGCGAGTTTATCACGGACTAATGTTGACGTTAAGTGTTGAGGAACAATGGCAGAGGATCGACACAAATGGCGTAATCAAATCAAGGCAGTTGTTTTCCAAGTGCATCAGAAGATACTGATGTATCAGAAAGAAAAATACCGTTGCGCAAGCGGCAGGCACCGATGGAGCCCAGCGCATCGACGTCAAGAACCAGCTATTGTAGGAGATGCGGTCGGTGCGCCTCAGCAAAGCTTGTCTGGTCAGTCATCACGTGGCCACAAGGGGACAATATCGAAGAGACGACGCGTAACTTAAATGGTTGTGTCAGCGCCTAGTGGGTACGCTACTTCCGGTTCCATTTACTAATCCAGCCAAACAATACGGTAGAAATGTTCAGGGTACTGAATCATCCTTGTTGTCGGCTTTTGTGTGCATGCGGCTGTGTGCTCATTTTCTCGAATTTTGTTGGCTGAAAGCTCCGGTGTCGCTGCGCTTGATGTGAATGTTGACAAGGTTACTAGCTGTCGAGAACCCTTCACATCGATAGCTTGCTCCAGAAGATTGCTAATCGTTGCTGGGGGAGACGAGGTCAACAGTTGTCTTGACGCTGCTAGGAGTGATTCCAGACAAGGTGGAACGGTCATCCGCCAAGGCACCACTTTGTGTATGTCTGGTATGCATGTTTCCCTCCATTCGTGAAAATGATGTGCATGCTGAAGGAGTGTGGACCGGCTCCGAATGAATCGCGATAGTGACAGGCAAATCTGGAAACATGCGCAACCTGCCATTATGTATGTATATATATATATATATATATATATATATATATATATACATGAAAATCTATACCAGGCAGTCAAAAGGGATGGTTTAACATAAGGATGATAGAAAGAGATACGCAGTTTTTTGGAAGTAGGGCTAGTTTAGTCCAGATAAAAGTGGGAACGCTGCCATCAAAGTGTTCACTACATACGCCTTAATTAGACCATAAGGAAGCGCGAAGTATGTGCAGCAGACTAGAAGAAATCGTACAAAACTGTGGGGAGTGATTGGAAACGATGATGGAAAGTAAGCGAATAGCGTCCACTGGAATCAGGGCTAATGCACGGGAATAAAGTCGGAAAAGCCATACTAAAGGACAGATCTGGTAGTGCCTAGTGAACTGATAGAAGGCATTGCCTCGAACAACAGCAAAACGGCTAACTGCAAGCATAGTGGATAAGTTACAGGTCTTTGCTAGAGGAAGGACTTCCGTAAAGCAAGGCCATACTGGAAAATAGAATGCACCTAAGGTGCTGCACAGATCTGCCATCGCGGCGACTTACTGACTCACCTCAAATGCAGCTGCTGTGGCGCGAATAGCCTGTATCCCCTTCGCCTTGCTCTCACCACCGTCTGAATCATCCTGCCGAAATCCACTCATGTTGATAATGCAGCCGCTGGTGAATATTTTGGAGTCGTTCTCCGAACGTATATTTACCAACTCTGCCAAGCGATTTACCTGTGCCAGAGATGAAGGTAAAATCCAAAGTCAGATAACAATATGAGTGACATAAGGACCGAAACTGAAGCCAAACGAGCGATGTAAATCGGAAGGATCATCGACCAACCGCCGTTCAGTACAGTAGCATGAATGCAGTGAAGGACACCAAACGGATGAGCTGACATCAGATAGAACACCAGAGAGGACTAGTGAGCATCATCCCTGTCGAAGTGTGGGATTGAGTGTTTCACCACAGGGTTGTGGATGTACTGGTGATTTATAGCCTAGTGATCACCTCGTGGCGCCAAGGTGAGATCCTACCTTCACATGGCATTGTGCGAGTGGGGAGGAAAGTGACCAAGCGTATACAATGTGCGGCTAAAGGAATATAATTTGTATATTCCTATTGTTAGACAGAGGCAGAAAAAGGCTTCATAAGTTAGCCAAATCGTGGGTACAAAAAGCAACTCTTCAAACGTTGCCAACAGGACATTGTGGGTGGGCGTAGCGTTCAGCTAACAAGGTGGCAGTAGCATAGATTCCGACGAAAGCTTGAGCGTACGATCATGACTAATAACCCTAGAAACTCACGTAAAGGCACCTTTTACATCTTCTTCGGTAATGGCAAGCAGACATCGGGCCTCGTCCCATGCTAAGTGACCGAGATCCTATTAGCCCTGAAGAAGTATCAAATGAATTGTGCACGTGGCTCTGCTTGAGTCAGGTTCAGTCTGCACAAGCGCCGACGGAAAGATTGATGAAGACTGTCTCGCAATTTGACATGTGGTTCGCACAGTCAAAATGCAAGGCACTGTTACCAGACTGTGCAGACACGCCGCCGGTTCTAAACCACACATCGACCGACGTGCTGAATGGACCAACTTGAAATCGGTAACGGCGCAATTCCGGATCCTTACGGCCTAAATTGATTCCGTTATGACCTAACAACCACTCGAAGTGCTAAGTCGATTCACCTAAGTTGGTGTTTCTAACGCCTCCGGCGAATACGTTACTGATGATGCGACTTCGAAAATCAGTGAAGTCTATGTGGGTTTTCAATTCTCAGTCATTATTAGTACACATTACATTACACGTTAAAGGAATGTGAGAAGCACGCTTCAGTTAATGTGCCTAAATACAAAAAGAAAAGATACCGAAAATGGGAGATACAAAACCTTACAGAATACAGTGTAGAAATTCAAAAAGTAATCTGGTGCTTGGTATCACACTACGCATCGGGAGTGAGATGCGGTTAGAAGAGGAATATAAGCGGGAGAGGAAGGGACAAAGAAACTCGCGACACAAATGCCATTGGGGTTGGTTTTTCCCCATGTCATCAAGTGTATCCAACCAAGGGATCAGCAGTACCGACGCTTCGCTGCCGCGTAACCATCACCAGTCCAACGTGTGCTAAGGATACTGCGAGGATCGTCCGGTCCCTGCGCAAGCTCGAACCCGCGCCCTCTGAGTACAAGGCAGGCTTGTGATCCTTAAGGCTACGGTCCGTGTTCGTCGTCCTTGGGCCCCCGCTCGGCAATCGGGAGGCACCAACCGACGCCAAATTCGGAGCGAAGGACTCCATCCCGCTTGACCAAGTAATCACTTGGCCTCCCCTATTCTTCTACCATTCACATCCCCGGCGTGGAAGCAGTGTAGTTCGTGGGAGTCGGTGTGATAGCAGGAGCGACACGTGGTCCAGCCATCGAACCCTGGTGAGTGATCTTAGGGTACTGGGCGGTTCAATCGCTTTTCTTGTACAAAAGTAACGATACTGAACACGGTCAGTACTCAAACAGTGTTCCCGCCAGACACGAACTCAGCTGCGAAGGGAGGGAGGATGGAACGTAGCTAGTCTCTTTACGTATGTCGATCTGATAGACAGGGTTTCGTAACCGTACAGGAGAGTTGAACGCACGGTCGCATTGTAAATTCGGCCCCACGGAGTGTGATGCCGCACGTGTGCCACAGGTGGTGGAGATTGGTAAAAGCGCCTCGAGCTCTTGCCACATGGTTAGTGATCGCACCTTCGATTCCACGGGCGCTAATATAGGTGCCTAGATACTTGAATTTTTTTAACGTATTCTAGTTGACACTCACCAAGGGCCAGCGCAGGGGTGGGTTCCTGTCAAACTTGGAGAAGTCCTTCGATGATGCAAAGCATAGCCCGAAACGACTCACATCCACAGCCAATTTATCTAATGCTGCTTGGCACGTTTAATAGCTATCACAGATAAGGGCAATATCGTCGCTGTACTGCAAGACAAGAGGTCTATCATCTGGGAAAAGCTCCACGACTTCCAAGTCGTGCCCAATGAACGCAGTTTTCATTACTTCGGCAATGGTGAGGTTAAAATGGAAGGGTGATAGCGGGCATCCTTGCCTGACACTGCTGGCGATATTGAAGGGCGGTGACAGTTTGTCGTAAGCCGTTACTCTGCACGAACTATTCGAGTAAAACGCTCTGAGAATGCTTACATATTTATCGAGCACATCTTTCGTGAGCAGACAGTCCTAAAAGGCATATGGATTCATTGAATCGAAGACACCTTTGATGTGGAAGAACACAATTACAGTGGGTCGCCAATAAATATGACGGTGTTCCAATAACTGACGTAAAGTAAAGATGTGGTCAATACAGCATCGATTTCGACGAAACTCGGTTTGCTACTCACGAATATGACTTCCACGGGTGCTAGTCAGTCTACGGAGGCCTACAGAGAAAAGTAACTTGGAGGCAATGGAGACCAAACTGATTTCTGTATGATTGCAACATTCCGAACGTGAGCGTTCCTTGAAAACTAAGACTATAACGGAGTGGCTTCAATCATTCGGGACAGTCTCCTGCTTCCACAGCATCAACAGTAAATGGTGTAAACTATCTAGAAGAGCAGGTCCTTCAAATTTGAAGAGGGCTGGGGAAAGTCTAACTGCTACTGCGGCATTCAATTGCAACAGTTAGAGCTCATGTTCGACGTCTGACCACGAAGGCGGATCCAAAAGGACGGCCCAGGGAGAAGGTCGATCGATGCCCGAACATGGGAGATGGTATTTCCGCCTGATATGCTTTTTAAAATGTTCGGCCCAACACATTAAATATTTTGGCAAGTTGTGGACCGGTTGTCCAATCTTGTTGTGTATGGGACCGATAACACCAAGTCTCCCAACGCGTTTCGCGTCTCGGATGGAATAACTTACGATGGCGACGAAGGGCAGCAGTTGTTCCCATTTCCGACGCAGCATGAGACCACTAGACTTCACGGTCTCTCTTCAGGCTAGCACGAAGTTTTGCTCCGAGATCTTTGCGAGCCTCATTGTGATCGTTTGCAGCCGGAACACGTCGGCAAGTATCCAGAAGTTCCAGAAACTGAGTAGATACCAAATGTCCAAGTTGGTAATTTGATTTGCTACATGAGGACATGCCTGCTGACGGTAACGACGAGTGGCGAATATGGCACCAGTGATCGTCAAATGTGCTCAGTGGGCGCTTGTTCAATCCGGATGCCAGCGTAATATGATATGCATTCCGAACATCTGGCCTTACCAGTTGGTACGTTGCGAACATGCGCATGTTCGCTCATACAAATGCGTGGTCGGAGTTCACGCTCGTGTTTCAAGTCGATAGAGCGCCAGGCACTACTGAACGAACCAGAAACATCGCCACTCTATGCTGAAGAGATGCATTCGGAGTATTGCTCATACCAGGTGAGAACACCGAGTGAGCAATGCTGAAGACGGTGAGTTGGAGTTCGACAAGTGCCCTCTGGTGCTCAACTGGAGTGTCTGTTAGAGATGATCCGCTTCAATTGGCTAGGTCATGTTCTCCGCATGCTCGTTGGTCACTTTCCTCGGTGTGCTGTCTCTACTTAGTTGGACAGAAAGGCATGAGGTGAATGACTGTGGGACTTGGCTGGAATGGCACGCACTGTCACCGTGAAAGGGAGCTCCGCCATCGATCACATCGGTCGCTGGGCACGTAATCCGACGTGGTTTCTCCATCCACTCACAGATGTTATCAACCCAAAGTGGTTAATTTCAGTCACTGTCACTTAATCTACTTTTCTTTACAACCTACTTGCGTTCCACGTCAATTTCTTAACCAATGTCAATTATTTTATCTTTGCAACATGAATCGTGTCGGTTGGATCCATCAAACTTTGTTACATGATTCATAGTTAATTGAGGTCGGTTAAACAGTAAAACGTCAACTCCCAAAGCATTTGGTGAATTCTGAGACCTCAGCATCTGAGGTAAACATGAGGACTTAATCTAGCTAAATATAACTAATGAATTTGTTAGGCGATATGAGTTCTTCGAGATACTCAAGGCCTATGGGAGGGGCATGAACAAGCGTAAAAATACGTTGAAAAGGTGAAAGAGCACACCATTGGAGAGGACGAAAAGCATGTCGTAGGCTCTTGCACACCTTAGCAACCATATCCCCTGTGCGAAGCAATTGGCTAAAATGAAGGTTATCTACCCAACGATCAACAAGGCAACGAGAGCAGCCGGACTTCAATAGCCGCGGTAGTGGCGTCTAAAGGAAACACCGACGTTGCAACCCTCCTCCCCCGCCGCTAAGAGCGAGGCATTGGAGGATGGCCGGCAAAGATGAGGGGTTCACACGTATGTCCCATCGGGCAAAGAGGCAGTACGATGTAAAGTTGTGAACACATACTTGTTCCCTGTACAAATTGAGATTTCCAGCAGGATCGACGTGACCAAAACAAAACACCACTGGGTCCTCTTCCAGTCCCCAACCTTCCATGAGATCGTAAGGTTTTGAGATGGCAACAGCGGCTATTGTTGTTGGAATACAAACCTGGAACCGTAACAATCAGAATAAAAAATTTTGGAAAATGTTAGGCGGTGAACAGAAACCGGTCATGGATAAGGTGCACAAAATGAGGTACTTTAGTTAACCTGAAGTTTCAAATGAACTATATGGCCACTTAAACACACAGGGGTTACTAGCATTGGTGGTCGACCGCTGCGGAATGTAGCTGTTCGTTAGCACACTTATGCAGCTCAACTAAATGGACAAGAACCGGAAAAACACGACTACCGTTCTTTGGCTTCGAAAACGCATATCGCTAGTCATTGCTAATCAAACACTATCGACCTGTAGCGTCATTTGGGACAGTCGTCTGTATTTCAGCCAACTCAATTGTACAAGCAGCTGGAAGTCTGCTTCACCTCGTCAACAAGTAAATTAATAAGCTACGTGTGCTCATTGCCGACCGGTGGCCAAGTAACTAAGATGTCTGGCTTCTAATCCAAAGGTCACTGAGTCCAGCCTGCATAGGTGCGGGAGCGACCTCGCAGTACTGCTAACCCACACTCGACTAGTGGTGATCGCGAGCAGCGATACGGTACGGCGTACTGTTGACACCTCTCACTCACCTGCATATCTCGTTGCGAATAATAACTTGGCCCCTATCAGATTTAGTCGTATCCAACAACTTACTATTTTGCGTGAAGTTACACACGAGTGGTCTGCACGTTTGCTTTGCAACCATAAGGTCACCGGTTCGAATCCGCGTAGGGGTCGGCGCCCTCGCGGTATACGCAGCGCGCGCGCGACGGGTGGTGGTTGCGCGGCAGCGAAGCGTCGTTACGGCGTACAGCTGATACATTATTTTTTATTTTAGCTTACCAAAAAACACAAAAATTGGCCAACTGAAACTTCATCGCAGGAGCTTCCAAATAAGCTAGTTCTCCGCATGCACAGGAAAGCACTAGAGGGCCATTTCGACCCATTGGGTCCCGTCAGTAGTGCGCATCCATCACCTCCATCAGGATCCGAAGCTGCTGCGACGAACATTAAATTAATTACATCAAAAATCTCCTACTCATGAGTATACTGAAAATAGCATTGAGCTGCAGCTTAACTCCGTTTGGCGATATCTATAAACCTGTGACCCAGCTACTAATTGCAGAGCAGATTAGCTGTCCTTTTACTATTGGATGCAAAACGGAAACTAGTATCGGCATCTACCTGCAAGTAGAAAAGAACCGACGTTTTTCAAATGTCTGGAATGTATGCAGAATGGACCGACGAAAATGATCTCAGAATAGACCACGACGACAGACTGTTGGATTTCGGAGTATTCGCTGCGTGCTTGGATTGGTGCATGCAATCACAAATTAGATCACAAAGTTACTTGGAAGTAAAAGTTGGTCAGTTTGATCACTGGGATCGCATCCGAAGTGGGAAGCATTCGGTGAAGCTCTTTCCCATCAATGCACCTCGCGACCGGTCTCGTCATCGTTTGGACCCTTCAAGAAGGGGTAATCAAAGCTGGGAATGGAACCCAGTACGTGGTGATTTGATGGTTGCAGACTTGACTAATAATTCATCGAGCTCCGTGAGCAACGCATGATACAACGGTTAATTCACGGTTGAACGAAACCTGTCGTGAAGTCTAGTGATGTCGGCTAGCAGCATGGAAAACACTGTGACAACCGATTGCGGCAAGACTCTTACTAACTTTCGGAGTCAGAGTTGATCACAAACTGACGGAAACTAATCGAGGTAAGCTTTTCAACGGTAAGAATCGGTTTGGCAAGGAAGGAACAAGTGGTGTGATTTACAAGATGCACTGCGAAGATTGTAACAAATACTATGTGGGCCAGACGGGAAGGAAGCTTGGCACTAGGCTACACGAGCGTTGCCTAACCATCCGCCGACATGACCAGAACACCCTGATGTCTTTATATATGGACGTCCAGAATCATCAGTTTGACTTGGAGAATGTCAGGAACATAGGTAGGGTAAAAGGTCAAAAAGCGCGCGAGTTCATCGAAGCCTGGTGCTCGGGGTAGAACTCAATCATCAGACACTTATAGCTAGATACTGCGTATGAAGCGCTGAGGGTCAAACCAATAATCCGCCTCATATCAACAAAACAAAGAAACGTCGACGAGGCGGACGCTAGCCAACGGAACGCAAGAGCTGACCACATGGTCAACTTACGTGGACCCATCGACTCCTGATGTTCAAATCATAAACCCTAACAGGAGTCCGATGGAATACGCACTGCTGATGATTCCCGAAAGGATGAAACGCACGTACAGTGCTTTTCCGGGCATGTGGCGGCTGTCTGATGTGACGAATTTCTACCTATACCATTCAACTCCCCCTACTACTCTTCTCTGATCAAGAAGCACTTGGATGTTGAAGCTGCCCTCATAAAACGCTCTGATGATGTCTAACCTGACGTTCAAAACGTCTGCAACCAAATAACTCAGCTCGGAGAACATCCAAACACCCTCACAAGTTTTCTCATTAAAAGAAGGGTTTGTAATACCCGCCATGTGGGTGGATAACGACGCGCGATCTCCACTGAAACTTCGGTTTACTTTGAAGTAGACCTCGATCGTCTCGATCAGCAAGACCGTATGTGAAGTGGAGGGATTCCAGTGTCACTCCTTCCAACACTGACACCCTACGACTGATTTCCTCCTCCTCCAGACTCATCGGGTAGAGATAGTCTGGGCTGGGAATTGAACTCGGGATCCAATGGATAGCTGCCAACGTTGCGATCACTAGGCCACTAAGATGCGTGAACAACGTTTGGGACAGCGGTTAGGAATTCATAGTCGGGTTTAAAGCACCCACCGTGTGGTTGGATAGCTACATGCAAGCTCTCTTGCGATCTCGGTTTACTTTGAAGTAGACCTCGGTCATTCCGATCACCAGGATTGTATACGAAATGGATGGGTTTCAAGTTGCTCCTCCCAACACTGGCAACACTGTTGTCTCATTAAACTGAGGTTAAAGATCAATCCTCCTATGAAATATAAGGCAAGCAAACGTGTTCCCTAGGCCACTAAAACTTTCACGATAGCTGTGGAGGAGTACATTGGAAGTGAACACACATCGAAAGAGATGCAACGGGCTAAAATGTGAACAACAAATGGTTCACTCGTACCAGCGACTACAAATCAGGCGTCAACAGTGTTTGTACTGGATAAATGACACTATAAAAGCGCTGTACATGTGTCTCGAGTAGGCTTAAGGTATTGAGCCATGTAAACAACAGCATTCAAGAGTAACGCTGTACGCAGAATGCGTACAATGCTGGCTCGCATTCAGTGATTTGACTGAATTAACAGCAATGCACTTAGTCTCCAACCATTGAACAACAACCCATAAAGCGCGAAGATACATCTGCTTCACAGGTCCGGTCGGGTGCATACTACTGCAAAATGAAACAGACGACGCTCTCTTGTGAGTGGCCAACCGCTTCTTTTTTACATGTACATGAAACATTGGTTCTACCGCCCACTTTGTTTTACAGCGAAGTAAGCATCGAGTAAGTCGCGAAATGCAGCTAATTGAGTGCACCATCAGGTCACGTTTTAAACAAGGATAGTGTCGCACGGAAATGACGCATACGGGGAATCCGTTTCAGAGATGGCATACACGAGCAGGAAAGAAATTTTTGCAGTAATCCAAGCGATTTTACTGCACCGCCAGTTTAAGTCAGTGGCCTCCCAGGTTGGTGTAACTTCTAAACTCGAGCAGAGAGCGACACATAAGATTTGGATTGTGCGGGATAAAGCAAACCATCGTTAGGTAGCCTCACATGATCGGCGGTATCACAGGTTAAGCGAGGGGGTGATGAAATTAAAAACGAACCCGTAATTTTAATGGATGCTCTTAATCCAGGGCTACAGTAATTGCTTTCGTCCTAGAATGATACTAGCCGCTACACGCAGAGAAAACAGCTCGACAAACCAGATGTGGCAGCGAAAATCTGGGAGAACTCCAATACCTAAGTAAACCAAACGATGAACCAAAGAGAACAAGCGGGAAAATTGCAAAATCTCAGCACGTGAATGTACACATAATCACAAGCATGAACGCAACCGACCTGGTTGAGACCCACATTTACATCCACAAGTATGGGTTTGTGTTTACGGCGAGCCGCATAGCTCGCAAAGGTGCGGCACAAAGTTGACTTTCCAACGCTTTCATGGCCACACACGAGTACACGAGGGCCTCTGCTTTGTTCTTTGATCGCTTTCTGCCGGAGAACCTCCAAACTGCCGTGGATATTCATGTAAACGTGAACAATCTCCTGATCCTCAGCAGCGCTTATCAAGAATGTGGTGATGCCGCTACCATGAACGGCGATTTTGCAGCCGTGGAAAGTCACAATTGTACCGCGTTGACCGGAGGTAAGCGGTAATTCGGAACCGCAAACTAGCTCGGTGCCATAAATTTCCGCCGTTCCCGATACCAACACAACACTGGACAGTGTGGATACCTCGAATCGGAGCATTTGATACTTTTCTAGTGAGTAGGTGCGCACATTTAAAACGGGCCTGATCTCTTTTTCACCATTCATGGCACAGGGGAAGGAATGAAAAGTAGACTAAATGCTGAAAGAGTCGTCGTCAACTACGGAGCCTAAAATGGATAAAGTGGGTCAGGTTTGTTCGTATGAAAGTACGGAATTGAGTACTATTTGCTTAGTTAATTCAAGATTATAAATGGGGCAGTTCTTAGACCCAGTGTAATATCCGTATGATTAAAACAGAAAGAATACAAGGCGGAGTGTCCAAAAGAGGACAACTAACTAGTACAGAAGACAAACGACTAGATAATGATACTGAGCACTGCTAAAACAAGTACGGAGAACCAGTGACATCGGCGAATGAGCCTGAATGATGTTCACAATCCAAAACAACAACCGCTGACCATGTCTGACATCTTGGTTAAGCAGAGGATGTGAAAAAGCACCAGGTGACGGTGACTCGATTATGATTATATGTCAGATTGCTAGAATGAGCAAGAGCTCATCCTTCGGTGCATGTCATGAAGACAAACTAAATTTCACCATACACTGGACAAAATGAAAGTAGACACTGCTTTCCCATCGACATGCAAATGACGAGGTAAATTTCGCGTGGGCATACTTTACATTTGTGACAGTAACTAACTATCGTCCGAGTGAAGTCTAGCGATGTGCACTACTGGACTAATTGGGTGACCAACATCACTAGAAGTTGAAAATGTGGCGTTCAACGTACTTAGCGTTCAATTGATGAAAAACGTATGACTCTCTGAATACTGAATATAGGGAGCTAGATGACATACATATATGCTGCTGCATCGCTATATTATTCGGCACGCCTGCGGAATAACGTCATTTATCACCGCGCAGTGTCGACGCAGCTCGGCGATGCGACGTCCTATTCAAGTGCGATGCGCGCTCGAAATCAGTAATCCGCAAAGTGGGCGTCTAGGGATTTCTTGAGTTCCGAGACCGATCTCGCTCTGACTATTGTTTGGGGTAAACTGTCCCAATATGTCACCACCATGCTCGAAGCAGAGGGTGTTATCCGATTCAGGTCCAGTACTACATACTTCTGTCGGCGTCTGCGAGTGCCTTATGATGCAGCCACATGCGTTTCAACACATGAAATGATTCTACATCTTGGTTTGTTAGACGAGTGATTATTTTTGCTAGAAAATTGTTCGATTTTCGTTTTGTATCGCAAACGACAGGTGAGCGTGCCGAATACACGCCAGAGTGAATGCAACTTGAACCGTTTTGTTTGGCTCGCCGAACAACCTTCACGTGGTGTTGTCTGAGTGCTTCGGGTTAATCCTGTTCCAGCGAATAGTTCGGCGGCAGTGTTCCAGGACTTCAGTGAACAATTTTCAGTAGCTTTACACCCAACTTTGTCGGAATAATCACCGAAATAGATGCAAGGAGAAATGAACACTAGATCCTCATCTAACTGGAATGCAAGAGAACTTGTGGTCGAACAATGCAAGATGAAGGCACTGATCGAAGTCTCAACGAAAGTAAAAGGCAGTAAGATTTTTATCACCCAGGACTAAAGATTCGGGCAGTGAACCAAAGTATAAATCATAAGATTTATCACAAATGATTTTGAGTGGACGCCTCAGTGACGAGTAATTTTTGGATTTATATTCGCGAACAATCGCAAGACAAGCACACAATGAGCCGGCACGATAAAAATTACCTAAATAGGTAAGCAGATGGGTGATGAATGCGCATGCTAGCAAACCCCGAATAAAAGCAGTCACTGGTAACGGTATTAGCAGAAGCGCTAAAGTCAAAAAGTTATTTCGGGTTGGCTTGGTAAGCTACACTGAAACACGGCGGTATGGAAGATAAAGACGAATTGCGTTCGCAAATATTTATCCAAGCGAGACTGGCGTACAAAACGAGTGATCGAAAGGTGTTCACCGGAACGCTCTGAGTGGCAGATTTTATGCTGCTGACCGTCCCAGGAAAACACAGTTGGAAAACGTTTTCCCAGTTCAGCCTTAACAGATAATGCGAATGCAATTTTCCTAGCTGAAAATACCATCCAAAGAAACCGGAAATCAATTACCGAATCATTACTGGGCAATACTAAAGCTGTAAGGCTTGATCAAAGTTTTTGAGTGAGTGTAAAACGTTCAGCTAATGAGAATATGATTTTGAAGTCATCACAGGAGGATGTGGCCAAAATCAAGGGGGCGTGACATAATAGAGCTGTTTGACGATCTCATCTCGCCTCTGTAGAACCAGACCGAGCCGTGCTCGCGAATCTTCTGAAATAGGCGCTTTGAGGTGCGACCTACGTATCGTGCACCACAGAAGCACAAGTACTGACAAACGAGCATTGGAAGGGTCAGCAAGGACAGTCCATCCTTCAAAGGTTTCGCAAGCAGTGGCTTGTTGTAGTAAACAATTATCGATCGGGCCGCGAAATAAGTCTTCTCAACAGCATCTTTCAAGCAGCAGAATCGACTTAGTGATGAGCATAAGTTCCAGAAGTTCATAACAGGAAAACACAACACGTAGGAGTTAGAAAAACAGGTAACCCGTTACCTTAGACGAGTGATGCAAACAAAGTTTATCACAATGAAGGAATTAGAAAAGCTGAAGTTTTCAGGTGAACACCTCCCGAGATTATATAGTCATCCTAAAGTTCACAAGGAAGGCGTCCCAGTGTGTCCAATTTTGAACACAGTGGGTTCACCCAACTTAACATTGCCGACAAAATGATGCTATCATTTGAGGCCCAATCGACATTGCCCTACTCGAAACTGAAGAGTAAGCGTGGGAACTGGTTTGGCAACTGCTCATTTACGCAATTTTTCAGGAGAATTTGCTCGGTGTTACTTCGGTGCGCGTTAAACATTCAGTTCACGTTCAATGGTAATATGTACCGTCAGATTGATGGATGGCTATGAGATCACCTTCGGGGTCCATGCCGACCCGTATCTTTATGGCGAAATTGGAACATAGCACACTCGGAACGCACATCGGCAAGACCGAAATGCATGTAAGTTATGCTGATAACATTTTAGTACTTTGCAAACCGGAAAAGCACGCGGCGCAGTTACTGAAAACTTTCAGTGACGCTCATGGAAATGTTCACTTCCCTTGCGAGCTGAGTTCGGATACCGAATATCTTCTCTGGATATCGACTTTATCCGTAACTGACAGATCACTCAGCAGACGTGGATTGGGTAATACACAAAATTCTATAGCACTGTGCCGTTAGTATACAAGAGAAGTTTGATCCGACCTCTAGGTTTAAGGGAGCGGTATTTACACACGGGGTGCCGTCAACGAAGAATCAGCGACGCCCTAAGAAAAAATGGCTATCCAGACAAATATAACTGGAAGCATGAGGAAAAACAAACGCAAACCACCTAAGAGCATTGCTCCTAAAAAAGAATTGTTCATGCAATTTCCATTTAAAGGCCGACTCTGCTGCTGATACCCTATTGAGACGCCTGAAAGATGCTGTAAACACTTATTTCGCGGCCCGATCGATAATTGTTTACCACAACAAGCCACTGCTTGCGAAACCTTTGGAGGATGGACTGCCCTTGCTGACCCTTCCAATGCTCGTTTATCAGTACTCGTGCTCTTGTGGTGCACGATATGTAGGTCGCCTCTCGAAGCGCCTAGCTCAGAGGATTCGCGAGCACGGCTCGGTCTGGTTCTACAGAGGCGAGATGAGATCCTCAAACAGCTCTATTATATCACGCCCCCTTGATTTTGGCCACATCCTCCTGGGATGACTTCAAAATCATATACTCATTATCTGAAAGCTTTACACAAGGCTTTCACAAGCAGCTCTTGTCAAGTGCTGAGACTATATACATCCGGTACTTGAGACCCGAACTATGTGTGCAAAAGCGCTACGTCCGTCCGTTGCAACTATCTTGACCAACAGATAACGTTTACCAAACGTTTATTTGTCACCTTAGCTGAGTACGTTGTATTGTCAAGCCTTTATGTAATACTATCCTTTTTTACTTTACCTACAATCTATGGCCAAGCCCTAAGCCATCGATTTCACTGTTCGAACAACTCAGAAATCAAGCTCCAACCCTAATATGACGCTAATAACACCTAAGCTCTGCCATGTAAATGTTTGCGTCCGGTGGGAAGTTATTCGAAAAGGATTCCCAACCCAACGCTCATTTGTTCTTGATTTTCCCACTGAAGTACGACGTGGAGAGAGACAGTATAGCGGATTCGACAAGAGGTGAATGGGGCAATCTCGATGCAGAAGTAGATGAAGCCGATAGCGTAAATGGAGCCAGGTTGAACTACATCAAATCTATCGTGTGATAGTGGCGTTAAGGACGTGTAAGGTACACCCTACTATATTGTGGAGATGAGGTTACAGAGCATATATTAAAAGTGAGCGACGCTTGTAATAGTCTTTGCTGGTCATGGCAACGGTGCGACACCTTCGCACCGAGACGTTGCGTCCACAGTGATGCCGTCCGATCAACCTTACTGTATGGTTGCAAAACCTAGCCCATCAGATAAACAAACAGAATGATGCTAATTGTGTTCGACTAACGAGGCCTTCGCAGATTAGCTCATTGCTGATGGGAACACCGTGCGATCAATGGGCGTGTTCGGTACTTTGCTTTTGGCAAGCAGACAGCAAGTGAACCGATTAACACCGTTAGTCCACTCGCCTGACTCCCATGACTAGGCTAGATGCTAAACATGCAGCACACTGACTACCGCGATGTGCATTATTTGAGCGGCTGCGGATGTAGATCTGATCTTTGATTTAGTCGAGAGGAACGAAGACCATCATTTAGAAATAGGTCTCGACTGGTACATTCTGACTCACGGGTTGAGATCCCAAGGATGGTAAACATGTCCGGTTGAAGATACTGGTTGGCCTCGCAAAGAGCCGACCCAAGTGGCGTTAGTGTTGCGAGTTTCGCTGTCCACCTCCCATATATATATATATATATATATATATATATATATATATATATATATATTGTCGGCATCCGTATTTGGATTTGCCTGTCACTGTGGCCTCCGTGGGGACAGCCACAGGACGCCTGCGCCTACACAGGGACCATGGGTGGGTTGCGCTGCACCACCCACAGTTCCGCACA